ATATTACGAGCAACATCTTGGCGTGAGTGCAGGCAAAGCGAGATACTGAGATGCTCCTTATGAAAACTGCAACACCCAGGTTTTCTGCAAGGATTAGCTTCACTTCGCTCCATCATGAACCATCCCATTCAGGATTTTTGTCACGCAGAAGGAGAAGCACCACTTTCAGTGAACTACATATCCCTTCTGGTACACTCCCGCGCCACTCCAGAAGATCATTTTCTGAGTTGAATCTTACTGACAAAAACCACCTTGAGAGTATGGCAAATTTTTACTGTGGAAGGACCCAGTGTTTTGTCATTTGGGTCCCTCTGTTTTGATTTATCAATTGATCGCGAATATCAGGCTCGATCCTAGAAGCATTTTAACGCTTAATATTAAATAGTTCCTTTCTCAACTCACAATTGCCACTAAATATACAGTTTCTTCCTATTGTCACCTTTTATTAGCTGACCGTTCCATTGCTTGAAGGAAGCAATTATCGACAACAGTGAAGTCATGTGCTTGCTACTGATAGAGTGCGAATGCCTTCGCTTCCCTCTGGCAAACGAAATTCGATAATGCCTTTGCTATCCATCGCAAATTTTCTTAAGTTTTATTGTTTATAGTGGCAGTAACGGACTAAACAGCAGAAGCCGTCTAATTGCACGATCGGTTGGCAGTTTGCACAGCGCTCCGGATCGCAACGATTCATTCAGTAGCGGTATTGCTTTATGTCAAACTTATACATTTGGAGCAAGAACCGGGCGAAGTTTAGCGAAGACAATCGATAGCCTGAAGAAAGCTAGGTTGGTGCTGAGCTGCTCAGCTTGTACTTCACTGATTGCTGACGCAATGAAAATGCCAGATTAGAAGCGGCACTTTTTCTTCTGAGATTTGAATTTGCAATAGTGATTTTAAGTATAATGAAGAGACACTAACAAATAACTGTTTCTACAGCAATTCGGATCTTTCCCGTTTTGGCGTGGACGAAAGAGCCGAGTGTGTTTTTGGCACCGAAAACGACGCTGCTGAGCCTTCTTCGTCGTTAGCTTTTGCAACACGCAACCAAAAAGGCAAAGGCGCAGTGCAAAAGAGAGTTAGTTTTTCCGACATCTCAAAAAAACGATGGCTTAGTGTTTCAAAGATAGGCGATGTTACCCACTACAAAATGCCCTGTCAGAACTGTGTCTTGATAAATTGAACATTCTTTGATCAAACAGTAAGACATTATAATTTGGGGAAGGATAGCATGCATCATGAGCAACAAAAAAGCTGTCATAAAAAGTGACGGATTTCTTTCAGGTTGAGCGATATCAACCGCGGAGTCGGATATCGCGCGAAACGACCAGTGGTGAAAGCGATAGTAACAGCTCGGAAGTAAACGGCTCACCACTGCTGCGAGCGGGTGGAATTCTTGGACAGCAACAGTTCACCACGCGCCGTTATCTTTCAAGCGTTAACGGCTCCAACAGGTTTGAATTGAAGCATCCATATTTTTTGCGCGTCCTCGTTGACGAACTTGTTCGTGGGTGCATTTTTTTGCGTTGCAGGAGCGTATCTTGTATTGAAACAATGCCGCGTCCTGGAGTTCTTCAAACACGTCGTGTTTTCGAGCAACAGCAGCAACAACAGCTGCTGCAGCAGCAGCAACAGCGGCATAGCTTATCAAATACTCCACGCCGAGTACCAAGTTATTTAGCGCAAAAGCTCGCTAGGTTTGTATTTCTGCTAGATTTTCTGCTGCCGGCTTCTTGAGGCACATCTACTGCTTTCTCTTTTTTGGTAGTGCTTCATTACCAAATTTCCATTCATTTATAGAAGAAACAATTTAATTTTTAAAAGCTCCCTAATTTCGTTACGGCTATTGTTTTTTTATCATATTTTATTTCTTACTATTACTGTTGCGTAAAAATAGCATTTTCGTTTGCTTACTGCCATCACCACTGTTGTTCATTTTCGAATCCCTTTCTGCTCCCTTGTATTACCATAACTGCATTCTGGATGTTTTTGTGTGCGATGGCAGTAGCTCATAATTCGTAAAAACGCCACAGACAAGTTAATCATTTTACGGTGCATCTTATTTGTAGCAGTAGCAGTTTTTTAGCAGAACACTAGCCTGGCTGAGAAGTGGAACAGTGGCATGCGGAATTCTCTTTCAAAATTAGTTTGCTGGTGAAAAAAAGCAGAAGTGATTCAGTAACATAGACTACGGCTTGTTGAGGAACTTATTCGCAAGCCGAAAAAGTATTTCAGATGATTTTTCATAATTAGCTTGAACATGAAACAAAAGCAACAACCGGTAGACCATCCACATCACAATCACGAATAAAATTCTTTTTATTATGGCTGCTGCTGGCACTTCTTTCTTTCGGCGCTGAACTGGTGATTTTTATCGCCAGAGCAAGTGATGTGATCCGCTCCAGCGAGTTTCTCTTTTGATTTGCTACGTTTATTCAATTGACGAACGATTGACGTTCGCTGATTAGCGTTTGAAAGAAAACAGCTGCACACATATTGTAATGGGTGATAATAGTGAGTCCAGGCATGGCCTGATCATACGCGACATATGGCTGTTTCTCAGTAATATCTCGTACTGCACTCCGATAGACCAAGCTCTCTTTCTGGTGTCCGCTTTTACACATCGCAGTTTATTTCTTTG